CATCACTTTGCTTTACAAGCGCAATCTGAAGCCTTCCCTACGGGCTAGCATCACTTTGCTTTACAAGCGCAATCTGAAGCCTTCCCTACAGGCTAGCATCACTTTGCTTTACAAGCGCAATCCAAAGCCTTCCCTACAGGCTAGCATCACTTTGCCTTACAAGCGCAATCTGAAACCTTCCCTACAGGCTAGCATCACTTTGCTTTCATGTAGACTGGCACCACTACGTCGTTGCTTTACTTTGCTTTCATGTAGGCTGGCACCACTACGTCGTTTTCTGGGCACATATTTTCACATTTCTTATTGGTTTTATAAATATGTCTTCATTCTGTGAAAGCTTTTTTGTCAAAGTCATTCTTAAACGTGATCAACAAGCAATTTTGATCTTTGAAGTTAGTCTGGAGCACAGTGTGTAGATAAATATTCTAAACGACTTTTGAGCATTCAGAGCCTGCTTATATAACTCAACGTTTCGTTCTTATATGTTTATGGTTGAATTTCCTTAGATTTATTATACATATGTAATTACGACTTCCAAAGACACGATGATTTTGATTTTTTGTGACAAAATGCTGAGTTAATCTACGATAAAATTATAAATAGTATCACTAAAGAAACTCAGTAACTTGAGCTCTTTCAGAAAATGGACTTTCCATCATCAGAGATAAATGGGGTGAACGGTTAGAAACAAATGTTTTCAATTCTCATTAAGTTAATGATAAACTACCTTATATTCAGCCTTACCTGAATCCGTTTTTCATGAAGATTGAAGTAACCTTCCGACATTTCTTTGAGCCTTTTTTTGACATCCTCCTGAAACGGATAAAACAACTTAAATCATCACATAAAAGTTAACAGTGTTGAATTAGTTTAACAATATTATTTTCATGGATATTTTAGTGGTAGTAAACATAACTTAGTACACGTACGTTCAGGTTAAAGTTATTATAAAAATATCTGTTCAGTTATCTATATTTTCACAATGATGACGACGCTTCAAATCCCTTGGGGCAAAGGTCGAAAAGGCGTTTAACTCAAAATTCAAAACAGGTGTATAAAGAATGCAAGAAAAAGGACTTGAGTCCAACTTTAATAGATGTGAACTGTGCCACAGGTATCTGACATAAAACAACACGATAAACAAACGTATTAAGACAGCTTAGCAGTTTAATTACTACGTAAAGATTAAAACTGCGTAAAGTTCATGTTTTCTTTATGAATGTAGAATTAACCTAAGCAGCTAAACGACGGGTGCTATCTGCTATAAAGTTGAGTTGCTGAATTAAGGGGGAGTTTTTAAATAAGGGTGAATCTGCTCAACAGGTACTGTTACTCTCAATGGTTTGGATAAAGTGAAGTTACTTTAGTGTTTCTAGATAAGGTAAAGGTGCACGATAGTTACTGTTAATTCGAGCGTTTCTAGATAAAGTTACACGACAGTTACTGTTATTTCGAGCGTTTCTAGATAAGGCAAAGGTGCACGATAATTACTGTTACTTCGAGCGTTTCTAGATAAAGTTACACGACAGTTACTGTTACTTCGAGCGTTTCTAGATAAAGTAAAGGTGCACGATAATTACTGTTACTTCGAGCGTTTCTAGATAAA